AAATCTACTCTTTAATTTGACTTAAATATAATGAAATTTATCCATAATGTTTTTAGTTAATCAATTCTATTTTTCTATTATAATTGTTTAGGAGCTAAAAATAATCAAATTCTAAATGACATTTTAGAATAACATCAATCTTGTTAGTACTTTGAAATTTCTATTAGATTATAATCCCATAGGTTTTCTTCTTATAAGTGATCCCTTCTCTATCGATTCATCTAAATTATTTGAACCCATAATCCTTGATTTAATTGGAGAAGGTTATTCTTATAAACGTGTTTTTGCTTTTCCTATAGTACCAACTTCAGATGCATATCTTTAAAATGATAATTAGTAATCTCCACTTATATTTTTAATCTTAATTATATGTTCATCTAAATACCTAAATAACATTTGATCAGCAAATGTATTATAAGATGGTTATAATGTACCAGGAAATTGAGATTAATATTTTTTAGTCGCTTAGATGGAAGTGAATCTTCTCTAATTATATTATAGTTGCTCTCCTCCATTAAAATAAATATTTTTATTATATTTTACAAATCTTATTTTTCTTCTCTCTTTCTCCTTGATTCCTTAATTTCATAATTCCGTATCATTTCATCAAATTATGGATCAGTCCTTTCATTATGAAAGATATCACTACATGGTTTATTGTCTGATCATGACAGAACATCATAATTGTACATGATTATTTCCATCTTTTCTAGCCAACTAAATATAATTCAACAATATATAAATAATCTTAAAAGTTATAAAATAATAATCCTCCTTCCATCATAGATTTAGTATTTTGATGATTCAATGTTTCAATCTTTAATCAATTCTTTAAAAACACAACTTATATCTCATAAGCCCCCAATCAGGTTTAGATTCATTAAATCTCTTAACTATTATAAAATAGTTAATCTAATTTTCTCTATCTATTTTTTTTCTTTAGGATTGCATTTATCTCGATGTAAATTGCAAATACATTCAAAAACATCATTAATTTTAAATTACCACCAATCATATTATATCTGTACTATATATGTTAGAATATTAACTTTTCTATGGCATAAAAAGAGAAGATATCATTCATAGTGATACTTACTCTTTTAGTAGCCTTATTGTATCCATCTATAATATCTTGATTTCTAGATAT